GTTTAGGGTAATTAACAAGTGAATGAAAGAATAATGGTACTGATTTTTTTTTTTTTTATTTAAGTAGATAAAAGTTTTGAATTTTTAAATCAGGTTGAAATATTCATATTTTTTTAAATAAGTATAGGGTGAGATGTTATAGGAATACTTTTTTTTACTATATTTTTATATAATTTTTACATGTTATTAAATAAGTGTATACATTTAATATTATGAGTCCCACATGAATTAAACATTCAATCATTTAAATGACACATCATGTTGTACAAAAAAATGAGATAAAAATGTTATATCACAAATATTACATGAATTAAAAAAATCAATCATTAAAATGATACATCAGGTTGTACCAAAAAAAGTGAGATAAAAAAGTTATATCACAAATACCACTTGAATTAAAAGAACCAATTATTTAAATGACACATCAGATTGTACAAAAAAAGTAAGATAAAAAGGTTATATCACGAATACCACACGAATTAAAAAAACTAATCATTTAAATGATACGTCAAGTTGTACAAAAAAAATAAAACAAAAAAGTTATATAAAAAACATTTCCCACAATCATATGGGTAAGTTTTTTTTATTTAAGGATTTATTATATAATAGTAATTATGTGACAAACAATAATTTCAGTTAAAATAAGATAAAATTTGTATTTTTAAATAAAAAAATTATAAAATTTATAAATAAAAAGGTAAAAATTTATTGTTTGATTTAAAATTTTAAAAAATTTATATTTTTAATAAAAAATAACTAAATTTAATGTTCTGTAAATGAAAATGTCAAGGAAAATGACGGATAATTTTCACTGTTGTAATGAGAGATTTTGAGATTCATAGAGGTTAACTATTGATGAGATACAAATGGAGTGGTCTTTAAGTGGCATAATAGGCCACGGACTCAATACTAGGTAGTAAGAAGACAAAACAGATATGTAATGGAGTGACGACATCAGTTGATATTAGACCTGGCAAACGGGCGGGTTGGGTCGGGTTAGGGTCGGGTCAACTCGGGTGACGGGTTAGACGGGTTGGGTTATAAACGGGTTGCAGGTTGGAAACATCCAACCCTAACCCGACCCTAACGGGTTACGGGTTAACCC